ATTTCTCTCATTTTACACTCCGAGGAAAATCTTGTCCTTATACCTATAGTCCCATATAAATGCTTCATTTTCGTCCCTAATAACTCAGTGTCATGACATATAATTTTTTGCTTTGGTAAATCAATTATTTATCTTTTGTTTCGATAATATACATCACTTTACCGTTGTCGATATGGACATTTTATCGTGTGTCATGCATAGGATTGCATTGACATGTATCTTTTACCGTTGTCTTATCGATTTATCTTTTTCATTGATGTACATGTCAAAACTTATCTTCATATTGATTATGAAATTTCAATTTTCTCCTTTGTCTAACCAAGTTATCTTTTGTTTTGATAGTAAGTATCTATACATCATGATTTACCGTACCGTTGTCGATTTGGACATTTTTTTTCTGTGTTATGCCTATGATTGCCATGACATATCTTTTACCGTTTTCTAATCCATTTATCTTATTCATTGATGTATATATTGTCAAAAAGTTATTTTTGAATCTTGGTTGATATGGACATTTTGTCTTATACCATGTCACTGTCATCGTTTCATCCCTTAGCTTTACTATCTTCCTTACCCTTACCTACAATATCTTCCGTTTTGTTAAAGACGTTATTACCGTGGCTCTAACTAAGTCTTATCTCTGGAGTGAGTTTTTGTTTCCCTCACAATACCGTACACGTACAGATTTCAATAAGTTTCTGCGACTTGGCTCATCTATCAATTTCGTTACCTTAGGGTTAAATTTTTGTCTGGTAGTTTGCTGAAGTTGCCATTTCTTATTTTCTCGATTACCTATTCCAATTATCGCATACCGTATTCCTTAACTATGTGTCTATCTTTTCTATATGCACTTATACCTTACATAGTTTTTAAGCTCATCTAAAAAAAATATCCTGCGTATATTTTTTTAAGCTCATCTAAAAAAAATATACTGAATATACTGCGTATATTTTTTTCTTTTTTTGAAGGAGGACAGTGTAGCTGTAGCATGTGAAATGCTACTGTAATTAACTGTTCCTTTTTCTTTCAATTTTTTTGAAGTAATGGTTGTTCATGGAATGCCTCTATTTTTTAGGGTTTACCGGGGAGCCGTTTATTCCGAGGAGCGTTTCTCTCAACGAATCCATTTCCAAAAAGCCATTTTTAAAAGAACACCATTTTTGTAGAGCGTGGCATAGAGCTTTTGAAGGAATTCCTAGAGGAATCAAGTTCTTCACGAGTCAATACGTGCACCCCCACATATGACGAAGAAAACTGAACTTCTAGCCTTGATTCCAGGCTAGAATCTGCAACTTCCATTTGCAATTTTTCTCGTCAAGTGGCCGAGAATGGATGGCTACCGTGCTTAACCTTTTTGTTGGAATGGAGGCTTGTAATGTGTTTCATTTATAACTTTTATTATTTTTTTTATGAAATCTGCTTTATGATCAATTACCATAATTGATTATTTTTATCGATATTACATTTAGATATTTAAAATTTCAACGTCATTTTTGACACCGAAGTGAACTTCAACTAATTATTTCTGATTTCTAATTTATCGAAATTATTATGGGTTTTTTCGAGGGTATTATTCATATAATAATATTATAATTTCCAATCATTCATTTTTTTATTAATTTTCTGGAAACTTAAAACAGTTTTACCAAGAATTGATTTTATATTTTGAAATTATTCAACACTTGATTTTTAACCTGACTGTGGAAATATACACTAATTTAATTTGAAACTTAACCTAATTGTTTTATTGGTTTATCTATGTCAAGATTTGGTTGAGTTATATTTCTTATTTATTTCCTTTTCAGAATTATCAATTACCGTTAGCGGATTATTTTCTTCTAGGTGTGTTTCTGAATTTTCACACCCCAATATTTTATGTGATTTGATTATTTTTTTCAAAATTCTGTGGCGCCCTTGCCATTCTGTACTTATAAGACTATCAACCCACCCCTATTAATTATTCGCTGAGCAAACTGAGCATATTATGGGCCTCTTGTAATTCATTAACAAAAGGGGTTACAAGATATGGAAACGCGAAAGGTGGGTGAGGATGCAATTAATACGGTTGAATTATTAGTGGAATGTATGGCGAATATTGCGTCCTTATTACACGAAAAAAATAAGAAATGAAGTGAGGTAATGCAAAAAGGTTGTTTGTCGCTTACCCAATTTGGCTTCTGTGGTCTTGTAACGTTGGGGCGCCCCTTGTAGGCTTAAACACACGATCAATTGTAAAACGCCGAGAAATGGAGGAAAAACTCAACAGTCGCGGAAATCTTTTGCGAAAGGAACCGCCGAATGGAGTGGGTTCGCACCAGCCCAAATCTATCGTATCGATGGTACTGACGCAGCGTTCTACCTTTTTCGCTAGGTATTCCTAGGAGGTGCGCGATAGGCTTGTATGCCTTCAGCGATATATGTAACGCAAAATGCATGCCTCTATTATAAAGGGTCAAATTTGACACACAAAAAAGTTAACGCGAAGTCATTGCATCAACAGTGGGGTTGATGGCAAAATTTCCGGAAAAGTTATTGGAAAAAAGTTATTAGAACGATGTTTTAGGGCTGTCTGCGAAATTTGGAGGAAAAGCAACAAAAAACAGGAAATTACTTGTTTTTCGCCAAGGATCTCTTATCAAATAATAATATACAATTTGAGTATGCCGGTGTGAGCCTTTCCGTACGAGACCAAAGCACCACCGCTATTAGAAACCACCATGACATTGGAAATAGGCAGCACCTAACTGTATGTACACGTTAACGTGATGAATTTCTGTTCGGCGTGGGTATTCCAAAAACCTCCGATTTTATATTTAAGTATTTTGGAAATATAATGCTGAGTTAGCAATGAAAACATATTTTTCTCTTCACACAAGGACCTACCAATCATGTTCGACGTATACATGAAATACTGAAACGGTTGAGAAGACACACCTATAAAAACAGTTGGAGCTCGTGAACGTCATGGTAATGGAACCAACCAAAAAGAGAAAAATGGGAGCTCTCGTCGCACACTATTCAGTCCATTCCGACAAAGCTATTTCAGTGAGCGTAGCCGATCTAAGGACAAACCAGGTTGGTGTCAGTATACAGTATAGTACACCAGTGTTAGTGAGAAGTGAGATGCGCAGAGGAGGAGCCTGTGTAAAATGAATAACACTTGTATCTAGAACTAATGTAGGATTCCAGAAAAGCTGAAGGCATTTAGATCAGCAAGAAGATGAGAAGGCCATTTGTGAAAGTCTAAAGAAGAGGCTGATGTCGTTATGCAGGAAAATATTGCTGGTAAAACCACCGCATCAACACAAAAAGAGTTACAGCTGTTCGCCTACCACCACAAATACTTCCCGTTGTAAAGCAACAATAAGTTAACAGGAAGGATGGCTCCATAAGGTTTTGTGTTGTTTATGAAAGGCCCGATGACGTCACGAAGAAAGACAGGTACCTATTATCTCGGATTGACGTTACCCTATTAGGATCCAAGTGGTTTTCATTGATTTAATGCCATGTCAGTTTTTTTGTTGTTAAAAATTTAAATATGTTTGAAGTAATATTGACAAATTTGGAATCATTATAGCCATGCCACTTACTTAACTTTTTTCTCGATCATTTAAACTATAATTCCCTATGAAAAAAAGAAAAAAAATGGTAGGTACCTACATACCTTGTACCTACTCACTAAGGAAGCTGAAATATAATTGACAAAAAATTGAATAAAACAATAAATCAGTTTTTTTTACAGGCCTCTTTCCAATGTTTCCATTATTGTTTACATATAATAGAAATAAACATAGACAGTCTCACCAGTCGAGTACGCATCACATGGATTATTTTGTATTAGTTAATTTAGGCAAGCCTTGAATTTGAATTCAATCTCATTTCGAAAAGAATGCTTTAGACTTTCCGATAAATCCTTTGGTTTAAATTTTTCACCGGTAAGTATTTTTTTATGCTACACCTGAAAAATTATTTTTGTAAAAAGTAGTTTTTGCAACGGTTGAATGTTAGTTTCCGAACAACTTTTGTGAACTTGTTATTTTCATCAATTTGTTAGCGGAGTTGATTCATAGGTCTTGTCTTTTTTTTTTGTAAAAGGGCAATCTCGGTTTATTTCCTTGAAATTACCTGACTGTTTTTCAAAATTTCCAGCCTCAACGGCAAACGTCAAAATTATTTATTTTTCTTGAACCAGTTGTATTTCGAACCGCATTTTTCAGCAACAGTTCACATGGAAACTTTATTTTTATTTTGACGAATTCTCTGAGAAACTATGGAACGCCGTTTTTACGATGTTCAAACGAGTAACTGCAAAAACTACCCTTTCTAGAAAGAAATTACATTGTTTTTTATCCGAAATCAGGGTTTGATGAAATGAAGGAAACCATCCTTATTCACCACACATTCAAAGAGTTGTAACTTTCTTAAAAAGCATTTCTAGCGAGAAGGTTCAAGTTTTCATTTTGGCCTGTTTTATCGCCCCCTTAAGCCTAGGACAGTTTTCTTTTCTTCTTGAAATCTGCAGGCGCCTGATTCTCGAAACGATGGAGCAGGGTTTCTATGAGAACAAATACCCTAAAATTTGTTCCCGTGAGAACGCTGTTTCCTTGTTTCGAGAATAAGTCGCCAGATCCTTCTTCCAACATTACGGGCGATGTGAAACTCTATTTTACAACCTAGATACATGAACAAATACTAAAATTAGGTATCACTTGACATCAAATCCCATTTTCATTAAAATTTTTGGAGGCAACACTTTCGCACTTGAATTATAAAGTGTTGTTCGAAAATTGTTTTGACGTGGAAATCCAAATTCATCAGGTACGAGCGATTTAAAAAAAAAACCTCCCTTAACAAAGAATGTTTCTTGTTTTGATAGTCAGGATACTGTACAGAGTAAAGGAAATTAAAGGAAATTGATCTTAGTGAGAATAATTACGACTCCGTTCATCAAGTACCAGAAAAACACAGCTGCAACAACTAAAACATAAATGTCTACTTACCCAAAGCATAATGATATTGTTGTTCTACAACAGATTGCAACAGTTGACTGACTTTTTTCTTGGAAGTGTCGGGCATTTTTTGTCGACAAGCCTGGATTAAATGTAATATTTCCGCTGATTGAACTTTCCAATCTTCAAAACAGATGTCCCTAAAAATAGATGAGATGGTGAATGGAAAATAATCACACAGTCCAGTTTTTTTAATAATATTGTTATCGAATTTCCTAATATTTTAAAAAGCCAGTAGCAAAGTTGACCGAATGTAGTTAAATAAGATTTGTTAGGTACTACCTGCCGGAACTTTGATTTTAATTGCCTCCAACAGCTTAATACCCACAAGCATATAGACCATCAGGTATCAAATGCGTTATTATTAAATGGATTTTCGACTATTGAGTGTGGATAACATACTTGACGATTTTTCACTTCAGAGAGAAATATATTTTTTCCCACACCAAAAAGAAAATAATTAAAAAAATTCAAGCATTATCTGCGCTATTAATCATCATACTGTCAGGAAAGACTTCAGATATTCTTTTTTTCAATTTCACCGGCATTCATCCTTAATTTAAAAAACAAAGAAAGATTCTTTTTCCTTACATAAAAGAAACTCTGCTAGTGTCCCATCAAATCGACAAACAAAAGACAGTCATTTATTTAAATTAAACCCTCTGCCTCTGGGAAAAATATTCGTGGTATCTGATAATTATCGCATAACTAACTTTGCTCGGGTCTGACAAAAATTACTTGGGCAGGGTGTTATGGCTTTTACAAAACCGCAAATTCGAAATGAAAACGATTCTGAACAAAAGCATATATTCTGTTTGTACTTTTGTTATTAAAAATGTATTTTAAATGAAGGGGGATATTTGACTTTAGTCCCTACGTATTCCTTATTCAAACAAAAGACAAACGGAATCGGAGAACGTCTAACAACAGCTAGCTCACAACAACGACTGGCTACCGCTGACTGGGTGTGCAATAAATGTGGAAAGAGTAGTGAGTCTAGAATAGCTATCAAAGCACCTACAGATAACGCCGTCACGGGTATATAGGTAGGTACTCGTCGGAGCGGTTGATCAACTAATACCTCCAGTCGTCGTAGCTTCTATATCAGTGGGCCAACACTGTGAAGCTCTCAAAGACTGTAATTGTTGTAGATCGGCAACATTCGCAGGATGAGAAAATTTATATAGACGCATCTCGTGCACGGGAAGAAAGCTAGGAAACGTGCCCTAATAAACATAGCCAGCCTAACCACTCCCTAACTTGATTGCTTGCGGTCGAAATAGAAAAAACAGCCAAAAATTAAATCATAGCCTCCTGGCCCTCCTGGAACATCCGCTCGCTCATGAACACTAATAACGAAACCAAAAGAGAGCAACAGAGGTAAGGCAGAGGTATCGCTGCCCTATAAGGGAATCGAGACAAGCGGGCGAGGGTCAGCTCACAGAGCATAGGGGAGGCTACACTTTCTTCTGCAAATAAAAAAAGAAAATTAATTCATGTTTTTGTCATCGTATATTTTGCTACGAAGAACTCACTCGTCCTCGTCGATTATTTTGATGAGCTTGTCGATAAGCCACTATAATAGGGTAGTGGACAATTTTTTGAAATATTTTTTTTATTAATCTTCATAACAAAATAAACAAGTGTTGATGATGCTTTGATTTTAGAAAACAAAAATATCCGTAATTTTTTTTTAACAAATTTGTACTTATTTTAAACGCTATAATTTACCGCCAGGAAATTACGTCATAGCTGTTATGTATGTCCAATAGCGCGTCCTTATATTTTATATGCTTTTAGAAAAAAATGGCGATAAACTCAGTGCGCACTGATTGACAAATAGAATTCTCTCAAAAAGTGGGGTTATGTTGAGGGTGCGCCTAAATGTAATAATACCCGAGAGACGCTGATATATCTTTCTTTTTTGCACTAAAGAGTAAGTTTGTGTCGAATATCGGACGTAGGTTTTATTTAATTCATACTTAAATACAACAGCTATGACGTAGAATCAGGGCGGGAAATATTTCCGTTCAAATAGTGCGTCTCAAAACTCTACTTTTACCGCCGTTTTAAACAAGGTTAGTAATTTTATCTGAAATTTCTTTTGATACGAATATTTTTTATTTACTCCATAGATGAAGAATAGATCATCGATTTCATTGAAATTATACCTTGTCCACTACCCCATTCCGACGATGTAAAAAAAAATGTTTAAAACCATCTAGATAAAGTCTTAAAATAATACATTAATTAAACAAAGTTATTTCCCTATTAAACTTTATTGCTCAGAGTGATACTCTATGATGAATGCTAGACTGACCAACAAATGGGTCGATCTGTGATGTCTACAAATATCGCCAAAACTATGAAAAAAAATTAAACATTTACAACGCAGGTGGCTCAACTTTGGCCACAGTAGGGCAACGTCGTCGATTAGACCGGGTTTGAATTCCGGCCAGACCAAAAAGTATTTCCAATTTTTTGGTGGAACATTTGGTGGCTGCCCAGAGAAAAGTGCAAAATTTATCTTTCTCCTCCCCCATTCACGCCGGTTAAGGCGCAGATATACCATAGGGGGGATTAGGGACTTAGGAATACACTTCCCATTCGGTAGGTTGTTGCACCAAGAGCTGTAACAACTGATGACCATGGTTTGGAAGCGCTTCCTTCCTGTTAGGAAGGTCCCTTCCTGTTAGGACGTTAAGGGCAATAACAGTCTCATCGGATTAATCCGCCTACTATTGAAAACCCTTTATTAATAAAAAATTTCGAGTGACTTGAAGATGAAAAAATTATTGTCAGAATATTGAACACTGATATGTGTGACGAGACCAAATCGAGGTACGATATACATGATTTTTAGTGGAAGACCATTGCAAGGAACATCGAAAGAGCGAAATATATCATCTTGTCAAGTGGGAGAAGTTGTGGATCCAGAATGAGCTTATTAGACCATCAAAGAAACCCACAGGAAATGATAGTGTCAAGAGACTTCTAATTATCGTTAGCGAGTGAATCCCTGTATGATGAGGATTCCTAATTTAAACATATTCGCTCTCTGCTTATTTTCCATTTGTAACGATTTCACATTTAACTAAGACAATACATTAGCCCTTTTTTTAAATTCAATTAAAATAACGGTATACCTACCTGTTCTCCTCCAAAATATATTCTTCGTTGACTTTAGAATATAATTTCTCTAATATCTCATGGTCCTCTCCCAAATCTTTCGCAATATTTATCAAAGACAAAAATATATCTTTGTCAAGTTTATGTGGTATTATTAAAGGATCGTATTTGTCCCCTACCAAGCACTGTAAAATAAATAATTTTGTGGAATATTAGGATAACAAAATATCTTGATAAAAAGGCTACACACTAATGATTGCATTTTAGCTTTGTCAGTGTTTCATCTATCCGAACCACCAATTAGTGCCCAATTTCCATATAAAAATAAACAGATGGAAGAAGAATTAGTACCCTTTTCAGTTCGGTTTATTCCAACAAATCCGAAAGAGTTTATGAATAAATCACGTAATCTACAAAAAAAAAAACATCGGCATTCAAACTTACCACGAAAAAGCATCCTTTTGATATTTTGTGACAGTTTCTTATTTCGTGTAAATGATCCTGTAATATCCATGGATCATACTTTTCTTTTTCATCAGACCCAAAATGCATATCAACCAATTCAACCTAAGACAGTTTATTTGAAAAAATTAAGTGTTTTGAAGTATTTACGCACTCACTTCAATTTTATGATCTTCAAAGATTGAATGAAGTTCTGGTCCGATATTCTCCAACAAGATGCGCCTCTCATTGGCAAAATCTACAATTTATAAACATTTGATTGATGTGAAAATGTAATTGAAGAAGTATTAGTATTAGCTATAGTCAGATAAATGTGCAACGGAATTGTAAAGCGTGTAAAGCGAAAAAAATGTATTTTCCATAAATATGTGGACAATTTTTACGTGAAAAAAACATTTGTTTCGAACTAATGCATTTATAATTTTTCACAGAATTGTGGTGAGCTTATCAGAAAAAAATTACTTAGAAATTACGCCTTACACTTTATCCATGAAAAAAAATTTAAATACTCCAGCACTTTCCATCGATTTTCTTTGTTCGGGACCATAATAAGAATTATTATAATATAATCACTATCATAGGTAACCGAGCCCTTTATGAATAGTAATCTAATGCTACTTTGAATTTTTCACGACTATACATTGTTTCGGAAAAGGTTTTGTTGGAAATTAAGTTCATCATCATCATGGGCCATCAATCGATACCGAGTATTATTAGGTCTGTTTCTGCAAAAATCACAAACCAGTCCGAGTAAATTTCATTGGTTGAAACTAGTTTTCTGACTGTTTTCAACCAATAAAATTCGCTCTGACTGGTTTGTGATTTCTGCAGAAACAGACCTATTATCTTCTATTCCATTCTCATTGTCGTCGATTGTCCGTTTTCTGATGACTATATAAACCAATTCTAGAGCCGCACACTGTTCCACAGTCTTGGCACACCCAGTCTCTGGCCGCATTGTCTCTCCCAATGTTCTCTCGCTCCTTTCTGCGGTCCCTCTTGTCGATCTCGTGTCTGCGTCGCTGTTCTACAAAAGTTTGTGGTCCGTCGTGGATTACTCGACGCCATGAGGGCCTATTATTTGCCGTCGTCTCCTAGTTGGTGGTATCGATGCGGCACTTTGCCATTTTTTCCTTTAGAGCATCTTTGTAGCGTTTTTGTTGCTCTTCCTGATTTCGTGTTCCCTCTTTCAGTTGACTGTAAAGAATCTGTCGTGGAAAACGTGTTTCGGGCATGCGGACGAGGTGACCTGTCCAGCAAAGTTGGTGCCTAATGATAAGGGCTTCAATATAATATGCTAGTTGTTTTAGCCTCCTTTAAAACACTAATCCGTAGAATCCTCCTTAGGCATCGCTGGTGGTATTTTTCTAGGCTTTTTATGTGTTCTCTGTAGGTGGTCCATGTTTCGCAGCCATATGTGAGTGTTGGTATTACAACTGCATTGTAGATGCGAAGTTTGGTCTCAGCGCTGATGTCGTGATTGTTGAAGACTCTCTCTAGAAGTCGCCTGAACGCCGCGCTAGCACACTTCAAGCGATGTTGGATTTCGGCGTGAATAGTTGCATTCGCTGACAGTATGGGTAGTGTTTTAAGTTCTGCAAAGAACGGTCAATTATAGTTATATTTGAGGCTGAAGATTAGTATCCGGTGCGGGCTGAGGCAGAATCGGCGTCTTGTTAAAGTTGACCTCTAGGCCGATTCTCCTGTACGCCTGGTTGAACACATCAATGATCGCCTGAAGATCTTCCTGTGTAATGGCCATTACAACTTTATCATTCGCATATTGAAGTTCAATTATCAATGTCGTCGATACCTTCGTCTTGGCTCGTAATATGTTTAGGTTGAATAAAACGCCATCAAGTCTGTACAGGATATCCACTCCTGACGGCAGGTGTCCTCGGCAAGCTCAAGTATGGATCATATAAATAGAGAAAATAAAGTTGGCATAATAACACAGCCTTGTTTAAAGCCTGTAGTTATTCGGAAAGACTCTCCATTTCCATCGTTGCTTTGGGCGGTTGCAGTCATATATTATCATGCAGCAGGCGGAGTATCTGGATGTACTTTTGCGGACACCCAACCTTTGCCTATAATTTCCAAAGAGCATTCTCTGTTGACCGAATTAAATGCTTTCACTTAATTTATGAAGGCCATAAATAGAGGGCGATTTTGTTTCCTGGATTTCTCTTGCATTCATCTTGCACTGAAAATCATGTTGGCTGTATCTCGGTTGGTTCTAAAGCCACCACTGTGTCTCTGGGAGGCTCTCTTCGGCAGTTTGGATTAAACGATTTGATAATGGCAAGTATCTTTCCCGCAACAGAAAGTAAAGATATTCCTCTATAGTTTCCACATTGAGCCTTGTCTCCCTTTTTAGAAATGGTAACTTTGGAAGCATCTCTAAGCTCGGCAGGTGTGGTCTCAGTAATCCATATTTTACTTATTAGTATGTGGATTTGGGCACCTAGTGTGGGGCCCCCTTGCTTAAAAAATTCAACACCAATGTCGTCAGTACCAGCTGACTTATTGTTTTTTAGTTGCCTGATTGCCTTTTCAACCTCCTCTAATCTAGGAACCTCGCTCAGTTCTTGTTGTATTGGTTTCTATGGAATTTCGTTAATACTAGATCACCTCTGGAGGAGGTGACCCAATTCTTTATCAACACTTATTTTGATTTATATTGCTTTTATTTTAATTTGTAGGAACTGTCTTTAAGCAGTCTTGTGCCATCTCTAGATCATAGGGGGTTGAGTCCTTGAGTGGTTGGTCCGTAGCCCATCTTAGTATAGCCTGAAAGAAGGCCCCGGTGCTGTTGGATTCAGCTAGTTGCTGCATTTCGTTTGATTTTGTTATTCACCATTGGTTCTTTAATGCTCGCGTTGGACTTTGAACTTCTGCTTTTGCTTGTTCGTATTGCGTTTTTTTTTTCACAGTCGAGTTGGGGTCGCTTTTCTATGCATTTTGCACTCTTCTTTTTCGTTCTACAAGGTTTCGAATTTCAGTGTTGTTCTTATCAAACCAGTCTTGATGTTTCTTTCGTATGTAGCCGACTGTTTCTTCCGAGGCAGATGTTTGGCGTTTGTCGGTCTTCAGTATTTTCCAGTGCTTACCGGAAAATTAAGTTAAAAAACTGAACGTGTGAAATATATGTCTGCAGAACATTTTTATTCCAAATACCAAAACAAAACAGCTTTAAGAATTCACAGTCATTGAAGGCAATATTGATGGAGTAGGTAAATCTATCATGAAAAAATGAAATCATGCCATAATCCCATTTCTTTGCAGCCTATAAAGGAAGTAAATACACCTCCATATCAGTCCGAATAAACTTTTCTGGCGGGAAAAAAAAAAAAAAAAACTAGCCATATTCTTTAAATCTAAATTTTTCGCAGGTAAAAATTATTCCGAACACTGCTTCCGAGGCTCATTACCGTGTTCACTGGTGCCCATTTTTGCATCTTACGACTAGACGGGTGGAAAAGTATGATGGTAGCGAAAGATTACGTGGAAACTTTCCTAATAAATAAACGGCAAACTGTAACAAATATGTTTTGCGAAAAGAAATTAGCCGTTGGTTGCAGCTATAATAATGTTTCAGTTCCGAACTGAGCTGACAACTGGGTGAGTTAATAGTATATTATTCAATGATCGCGTAATGATGGCTATTTATTACTCACGAGGATCAAGTGTAATCATCCAAAAGAGTAATAGTCATTACCCGCGAGTAGAATACTAGAATTTTGCTATGATTATTGCATTAAATAATAGAAAAAAGTCATGCAATATTTTATTATTTACAACCACATATGTAATGTCGACATTTCTGACTTTTCAAAAGTTTGAAAGTGTCACTTTTCTGAGTTTTACTCTCCTCCCGGGTGGAGAGTGGTCCCGGTTGGAAAGTCCCGGGTGGAAAGTAAGCCTTCATTTCCTAAAATGTTAAAGACAAGTCCTGCATGTCAAACGTTTTTTTAGATGAGTCAGAACTTGTCAACAAGTTTTTTAAATTTTTATTTAGTATAGAAAACTCGGTAGGAAGTTTCATTTCTCTCTCGAGATAATAGTTAACTTCGCTCCGCGTCTCAGCTAATTTTGTATATTGTGTATTATCTTTGGGTAAATTCGAGGAAAAATTGTAGGGTTTCCAGCTGTGTTGGAAGAAAGTTAATATGTCGCTGAGAAGCGCTCATAAACTAACCCAAAGTAACCCGTCTTTATATTATTATAAGCGAGCTTTGTTCGCGGATCATATTCTGGAGCGATTCCGAACCAGTCCGGAACATATTGTAGAAATGTTATTTCTATCTGTTTCTTGAACGAGCTGAAAGAAAGAGATAGAAATATCAGAAGTAGAAACTTCCAATTGGAGGTATTATATTTTTTTGAAAGTATATTTTCTTCTGTAAAATAGCATTTGTTAATTTGATATTTTTGATAATGTTCTCTCCAGAGGAAATCGTAGGCTTTGTTTTTATAGGGGTTACATGTCATGAAAACTCAAAACCGAGTGAGGATAGATGAAGGTAATTTCATACACTTTTTGGAACTGATGAATGCGAATTCTCCAATGGAAATATGTATGACATTGTTTATATATTTTACTGTGGCCTCTAGTGTTTGATGGCTCATAATTATCCACTTCCCCGTCAATAACCAGCGTTGCGCGGTCCAAAGAAACAATATCGCAAGCCAATGCTCCAAAGCGATAAAAAATTGATGGATCGCTTCACCTAGATGAGAACGGTATACCTCAAATATTTATAAGCAATAATTGTGTGCAGCATTTTGCTTGGATGAGAACCGGACTTAAGTATATGCAAAAGCAAAAAGTTACTAGATTGAAAGCTAACCTGTCGTGATCTGAATTGAACTAAGGACTTTCAAATATATTTCTACCGAATATATTTTTCCTACGAGCGAGCTTAAAGTTCCACTTTGTCGCACCGCGTGCGCGAAAACAATCTTACCACACGGCGTGCGCGAAAAAAGTTTTTCTTTTCTGTGCGTGTTTTTTTTTTCAATTTTTCTCACCATGTCATGCTTCTCAGAAATTTTAGATTTTTTCATAATTTGTCCAACGTTTTTACTTTTCAAGAAAGCTATAAGCTTTTTGTTCTTACCAATATCGACATCTTTAATGAGTTTTATACTATACATAATTATTCTACTTAGAGTAAAAATAATTGTTAATGTTCTGTTTTCAAAACCTATTGTTTTATTAAACTTAGTTGAAAAATCACATTTTTGACCATTTCTTTTATATACCTCAGTAGAACCAAAAACAAAACAAAAAATTAATATGTATGTCAATTTCCGCAGGCTCGTAGGAAAAATGTTGTACCTAACACGAGCGTGAAGTATCCGCACTGGTAAGGTAAATAACTATTTTGTCCGGATATAAGAACTTTTTTATTTTCAGCCCTTGGTCCGGAAACTGGACTTTATATTGCAGGAAATGTAGAAGGTAATTTTTATAATCTTAGAAAAAATTGTATTTCACGTGGAATTTTTAAACCTCAATTCTAAGAAGAATATGAAAAAAAATGGAGGAGAAAGTACTAAACAAAAAGGTTTGTAGTTTTAAAAATTATATTGGGTCTACTGAAATTCCAAATTCTCAAAATCACAGAAAGAGCAGGCTCGACTAAACACCTCCGCAAAGATTTGCTATTGCCAGGATTTAGTAAGTAAAGCAAAACAGTATTTTTTGATAGAAAAGATACTTCGTGTCATGATTATTTTTTTCCTACGAGCGTGCGGAAAACGCGTTTTCACGCACTGATTTGCGTGCGGCAAGTACCACTTTTCCGCACAGCGTGCGCGAAAAAAAAATACCGCACGGGGTGCGCGAGAAACGTTTTCCAATTTTTCTCTCCATGTCATGCTTCTCAAAAATTTTAGATTTTTTCGAAATTTCTCCAACGTTCAAGAACGCTAGGTATATAAGATTTTTGTACTGACCAATATGGACACCTTTAATGAGTTTTATACCATAAATAATTAGTTCTAGTTATAATGAAAATAATTGCTAATTTTCTGTTTTCAAACTTATTGCTTTATTAAACTTAATTGAAAAATCACATTTTTGACCATTTTTTTATATACATATAGGCAGTAGAGCCAAAAACAAACAAAAAACAATGTGTATGTCAATTTCCGCAAGCTCGTAGGAAAAATGTTGTACCTAACATGCGCGTAAAGTATCTTTTCCGCACTTACGGCTTGCACGAACGACGCGCCAGCCGTTGCGTGCGGAAAAGTATAACGTTCCGCACTTGTTAGGTAGATTACTATTTCACTTTAGAAGATATATGAATGCATTTGGAAAATATTAAGATCCATAATAATATAGACTTTGATAATATTTCCCCAAGAAGGAAAAAATTGTTTTTTTTTTTTTAACTGACCTACATTAATGTGGGTATACTAGTTATATTAACCAATTGCCATGCTGATTTATAATCAATTATCTATTTTTTATATGCTTTAATGTGCTTACCCCTTTCCTCTATGACTTTTTAAATACATTGTTGTAAAGTAAACATCAAATTGCTATGTCGGCATTAAATGTTTATTTAAGCCGATGCAGTCCCATAAGGAACGTTCATTTGTTTTCTGGCTTTTGCCTGTAGCAATTTGATCCACGTATTTTCTTTTGTCACCTCTGTATTTTAATCAATAAAATAAATGTTTTTTAAAATACAAGTTTCTGAATCGAAAATATAATTTACTTATATTTTTTGCTTGATTGGTGAATTTTGGTGAATTTATCTGCGTCAGTTATTGACTGTAAAATTTAATTTAATTTTTTGATAGACTAACTGCTATATAGAAATATGTCCAAAAATGTTATCATGTAACTGATCCTCTTTTATTTTCAGCCTGATAGATAAAAAAATCAAAACATATCAACCCATGTTATATCCCAACAATCCATCTATCAATAACATGTTCCAATGATGCTTGAAGTGGGTCGATTCAAATGACAAAAGTGAAATAACTCCCGTATTCGTTAGATCGCGACACATATACCTACATACAGAGTGAGTTTTATGTATGGAAACGCCCAATTATCTCAAAAACGGCTTGCTCGATTTTTATAAATTTTGGTATGTGAGGGTATTGTTATATGGCCGATATTATCGTGCCATTTACATGGTTGTCAGATCATTCGATTTTTGGCAACTATTAGGAACTTTGTTATTTCAAATGGATCACCCTGTATATTTTTCAGTTTTCGTAATCCCTGAATAATACTGAATATTTTTCATGAAATGTTTCCTATACCCAAATGCCTTAATTTAGGAATTATAGCTACATTTACATTAAAAACCGCAAAAGTTGAAATAATTCATTGGCTTGTCCCGCGTGATGAGAGCTCGTCGCGGGAGCGTCTCGTCATGTCTGTGCACACCTTAAGATCTCTATGACTACAAAAATAATAGCTTTCACGTTTCAGTAAATTATTATTTGTCAGTTTTCATTGAATGTGATAATGAATCGTTTATCTGAAAAAGAACGAATTGAGATTTTGATGATATTGGGATATGGTGATAGGCGTAGAAGTCAACAAGAAACGTGTGATATTTTCAATGATTTATATCCCAACCGCAATCCCATTACAAAATCAACTGTTAGTAAATTGCTTAAAAAGTTTACCCAAACTGCTGGAGTAAAAGATCTACCCAAATCAGGGCGCAGGAAGACTAAATCAACTGACAACAAATCTCTAGATGTTTGTGTCATGTTAGAAGACGATCCTCACTTGAGTACTAGGCAAATATCCAGGGAACTTGAAGTTTCTCAAACAACCGTGATGAGAATTCTGCATGGTAATAAATTCCATCCATACAAAGTGAGGTTGGTTCAGGAGTTGTCAGATGACGATTTTGATAGACGTGAGGAGTTTGCCGATACAATGATGAGAAAATGTTACGATCCAAACAATCCAAATTTTTTAAATAATGTTATGTTTAGCGATGAGGCCACTTTTCTTATCAATGGCAACGTAAATCGGCATAATTGTAGATACTGGTCTCGTAACAATCCTCATTGGATGCGTGAATCCCACACCCAATATCCCGAGAAACTGAATGTATGGGCTGGAATAATAGGCGACAGAATAATTGGACCGTTTTTTATTGAAGGAAACTTGAATGGTCCCGCGTATTTACGTTTATTGGAAGATAGTATTATACCTGAGTTGGCTCGGTTATTTCCAAATCCAAGTGAGTATTTTCAATTGCCTTTAAAATTAAAAAAAAAAATAATTTATTGAAACTTTCAGACAATAACAATATTCCCCAAAACAATATTTGGCTGCAACAAGATGGAGCTCCACCCCACTATGCCCGTGAGGTGAGACAATACCTAAATCGTTTGTTTCCCGGAAGATGGATTGGAAGGCGTGGATCTATCGAATGGTCTCCTCGATCACCCGACATGAATCC